AGTATAAAGTACATATTAAAGGAATAATACCCCAAATTTTAGTAGGCATGTGTTGATTTTGCCTGCTAAGCATCCATTCTCTCTTCTTCCGGTAATGATGCTATGATAGCGGAAGAAGGGGAATTGACAAACGAATGGATAGGGAGAGGGAAAAAGGGAAGAGGGAACCCGGAAAGAAGGAAGAGAAGGAGGGAGGGAGAGGCGAGCGAGCCGAGGGGCGAGGGGGCGGAAGGCGCGGGAGGAGGAGCGCGCCGGCTCGCCCCTCCGCCGGGTTTGCAGGGCAGATTCCCGAGCGCCGCCGCCGCCGCTCCGGGCTGCGCAGCTCGCGCTCTGCCGCGGGAGGTGGCGAGGCGCGGGAGGGAGGGGCGCGCCGGGGCTGTGGGGAGGGGAGACTAGTCCATCAGCGAAAGGAGGATTGGCTGCATCTGAAGCCAGTCCGGATGCAAACCAGGGCCCCGGCCTAGGTCGGGTGGGGTGCAGGGGAGCGCGGTGGGGGGTTGGGGGGGTGAGAGGCGTGGGGAGGGCTTGGAAGGAGGCTGCCTCCTGCAGTTGTCACCGCGTCAGCTCTAGGCATATACCGGAGCACCCCTCCTGGCAACTTCTTCCAACAGCCCCCCCTCCGATGGACCCCCAACTCTCTTCTCTCACGCCTCGCCTATCCAGCGAGGCACAAAGAAATCTCAGTCTCCATAAACTTTGTGCTTCCAGTTATGCAGCCCCCTCCCCTAGCCGCCACCCCCGCCTTTCCAGCTTCTTGGCAGGAAGGTTAGGCCACTGGCAAAATCCTCGGCGAGAGCCAGCTGATCACAAATGCCAACTGTGTGTCTTGGGGCCAGTTAAGTCCTCTCATCTGCCCAGGCTCTCAGGAGACCATTTCATTGCTCTCAAGGTTCCCAGGAGACCGCCGTGGACACGGACCATCCCCCCACTTGGCCCGCACAGATGGGATGCTGAGCGGCGTCTTAAAAGTGCTTTCTCACCACGAGTTTTCATTTCAGATTGTAAAAATTCCGAATTTGGAGACAGGCAGATAATTTTCTCACATCAAAAAGGAGGACCATTAGCTAGGTGATTAGCCCTAAGTGGAAAATGAACCATCTCTAATCAGAATACTAACTTTTTGAGGAAGTCTGTGGAAGTTCTGAAGTCCCGCCCCAGCCCCCATGACCTTTAATTCTTTTAGTTCTTCTGCCACAGGGAAGCAGCCAGCGACAAATAAAAGATTTGATCTTGCCATAATTTCCCAAGCAGGTAAGACCCAATAACTATTTTATGGTTCTTTGGCTTTTAAAGTTTTGTTTCATATTCAATTATTGTGTGTGTGTGTGCAGTGTGTCAGGAACTGTAAGCCAACAGAAGAACAAATTTTGAAGTGATTTGCCTAGTTATTATTTCGGCCAAGTTAAGCGGCATGAGGGCTAGGTTAGTTTGCCATAGTTTCATATACACTGAGTATTAAATATATTCTCTGGGGTGGGCTGGAAGGCTCTATCCCAGTGGCAGTTTGACTGGTTGCTTTATGAAATCAGTATTTACTAATAAGCGCCACTGCAGTTAACATGTATCCCCCCATATTGCTGACTTTCCCCCCAGGTTGGGAGATCACCCATTCAGATCTGAAATTGTGCTCCCCTTTGTTTGGTTGACTAGCATTCGTGTGAGCCCCCCCAAACTCCATACTCTAAAAGGGTCTGAGGGTCAGCAGAGCTGGGCTGATTGAGCATAATGCAGGCTGCTCAGTGTGCGGGAGGCATGGTAACCAGGGTCCTTTATAACCCCATCAGGACCTCTTCTGGAAGGTAGAAAGAGTTGTCCTGTTAAAGGTATGGGGAGGAGAATCTTAACACAGAGCTGAAGACCAATTGTGAATTTTATTACATTACCATTAGTACTATTACCATATGAGGTTGTAAGAATACATGGTACTCTGCAGTGGGAAATATACTAAATAACAAAGTCCCTCCCCTGAAGGACCAACAAATTAAAGCCGTAAGTACCAGGAAAAGCAGGGTTATTTGTGTTTGTGTTGTGGCATGAGTCAGTAGACAGAGAAATACAGATTTTTGCCTTCTTAATTTTCGATTCATTACAGTAAAAGCGGTGTGCTTACAATTGGATGTATTATATATTATGGTTTTTAAAGATCTTTCTACAGAACAGGCTGACTTTTTATATCACCCAAAAGGAATGCCCATCGGAATTAAAATATAACAGTTAGTGTTTCTTTTGGCATTTGAAATGGTTAAATATGCAAAGCAAAAAAGAAACAAATAAATCTCAGCTAAATATTCACTTTAAAAGCTGAAAGGAGCAAAATTCAGAGAATGCAAGGCAAGACTGATAACATAACCAGACTTCATTATTAGAACTAGATCTAGTTTATCAAATTTTATAAATATTATAGTCAATATGAATGAATTCAACTAAGGAATACTATTAAATTTTGTGTTTTCTCATCCTTTTTAATGAGAATGTTAATGATATTTAAAGTTCAATTTTTCTTTTTTCTAGTTTAACTCACTAAGGTTATAAAATAGAAAGACAGCAAAACCTATAAGCAATTATCTCTGTCCAAATGGTTATAGCAGCCCCAAACCACAGCTACATGACTATCAAACAATGATTATGAAAACCACAATTGAGTAAAGCATCAGGGAATGATATTGCAAAACCACAGCAACAAATGTGTCTGTGATACTGAAAACCACAATTCACAACTATTGATAATACCCTGTGTATCGCAAATTACTATTTAACTATAAATGTGAAAATATATAAGTAACAGCACAAAATAATTTCTCATTTACTTAAAAATGAATTATTCATTTTCTAGACTCACTGATTTCATCTCCATATAATGGTTCATTTTGAAAAGTTTCTGCTTTCAAAGACAGAATCATTTTAAATCATATATGTAAGTTACTTCAGAAGCAGAAAATATACAACTTTTAATAATATTTCCTCAAATGTGAAAAGAATTGATCTGAAACCAGCCTGAAATAAAGAAACATCTACCTCAATTTGGCTTTCTTCATAAAGTTCTTTGGGAGTGAAAAGGGATGTGAGTGGAAACTGTTTATGGAAAATAAAAAGCTTGAAGTATTCTATTACAACCTCAATGAGATTATAATTGTATATTCTTAGCTAGAAAACATACATCAGACAATAAAATAATATGCCAGTACCAAAACTACTTTAATATGTAAATCAAATGTTTATTTACAAATGAATAAAACAATATTGTTTGCAAGTTTATAGGGTTGCCAGGTTTAGAAAATTAAAATACAGGATGCCCAGTTAAATTTGAATTTCAAATAAACAATAATTTTTTAGTATAAGTATGTTCCATGCAATAGTTGGTACATAGTTATCCTAAAAAAATAATTGTTGCTTATCTGAAATTCAAATTTAACTGGGCATCCTGTATTTTACCTGGCAAACCTACAAATTTAACATTTTAACGTTTTCACAAATTTATGATTGTTTATAATATTGCTTATAGAAAAAGGCAGAGAAACCCTAAGGGCTTCCTACAGACACAGATATATTTAATTCTTGAACATCATATTATTTAGGGAAGGCAAGATAGAAGGAATATACATTTCTATACAAAAATTCTTCATTTGGCACAGTACCGAAATGTGCTCTCAGTGTAAATGGATTGCATTCATGTAAGTCTTACTCTTGGATTTGGTTTTAAAATGTGTTTTTTCCCTCCAAGGGATCAACAAATTGATAAAGCGACCTCCCAGGCCTCATCTTATTAGGCAGCAAGCTGCCTTCTTTATTATGGGAGTAAACAATATTCAAGAGCTTCAGAAAGACTTAATTTTTTGCCCTTGTATCCTCACCAGAAATTGAATACAGTTTATCTGCCTTGATTTAAGATTGTGACATGGAATTGAATGAGAATGCAGTATGAAAATAATGTTTAGAATTTGTGTATCTTTATAATTTCAGCAGTTTAAAACTAAAAATCAACAAATTCATCTAAATGGCATTCCTACATTTTAACTATGAAAAGGACTATCTGTTTGCTTGCAAGGGAGCCAAGGGCTTTGAAAACATTCAGTCAATCTAGATTGGAGGTTTAACTTGAGCTTCATGGAGACTGTCAATTCCTCAAAAGAAGTATGTCTGCACCAAAAATTTTCTAAAAAGGAGTTCTATTAAATTCATCAGAGTTTCGAAATTATCTGTGGAAAAAAATCTGTAAACCAGTGTGGGTTAAGAATGACTGTTTTCTGTAGGTGTAAATTTTTATGATATACTGGTAATCGAAGTGTGAATGGTTCAAGTTTTTACTCTTTGCAATCATCCTTTATGTCCCAATTACTATTACTTTGATAGAGGAGAGTCATGTGATGAACTCAATTACCCCCCTCCCAAAAAAAAGTTTTTTGTTGCTAAGTCTGTATCATGCATAACACACCTCCAAGTATAAAGTACATATTAAAGGAATAATACCCCAAATTTTAGTAGGCATGTGTTGATTTTGCCTGCTAAGCATCCATTCTCTCTTCTTCCGGTAATGATGCTATGATAGCTTTTGAAGAACTACTTCTCCTCGCTCACTGTTTGGTCATGTGATGGTAGTGTGGCCTTTCTCAAGCCCCCATTCCTGACCAATCAGAATATTCCAGGTGTTTGTCCACTGTGATTGGCTCAATGGCCCAAATTGTTTCTGCAAGAGTCAGCCCTGGAACTTTTTCCTAAAACCACTGAGGAAAAGGTGCTGTTTTTCTGCTGTAGTTGCTACACCAGGAGAATGCAAACAGGATATTGCTGTTGGCCATCTTGTTGGAAGAATCTGTCAAGAGTGATGCCAACCCAGAGGATGCATTTTGTCTTATCTCGTCTCAGAATCTGATTTTTGGGAAATCCAAATGAAGACACCCATCATCATTCCAATATTACTCAGTGCTGGATCCATCAACATTATTCATGCGTCTGCATAAACGTTAGGATCTTGGTCATTTCTATGATATTTTATCTTCATCTTTTTGACCAGGTTAATCCCTATGCATCTTGGTAGACTTAGTATAGATGTCATTTTTCCCTGGAAGAAATCACTGACCTCTCAAGTTTAAGTGAGATACCTCTTCTCAGTTGCTTTCATAACACCCTTTTTGTCTGTGTAATATCACTTATTGCATTATATTGGCAATTTTGGTACATATAAATTAAATCCTCAACAGCCCCCTCCCTGCCCCCGTACACCTATTAAGATAGTAAGGTTTCTGCAGGCAAGAAACATGTCTGTCTTTTTCAGAATTACATCCCCAGTGCCGGACACATAGAAAATCCTAACATAAATTGAAAGAAAAATAAGTTTGGTGTTATTCCGTGTTATCCGGGGACTTTCCTAGCATTCTTAATCCTCATCCACATAGGCACAGGTACAGGGGATGACAGTCATGTTTGTACACATGACTCTATGCTCCTGGTGGTGGCTACTTGGACCAAGGGGAGTACGTGACTCAAATATGACCAATCAAATTACTCCCATAGGAACGTAGAGTAAGTATCAAGAGTTCCATCGTTACATGAGCTGGTCTCTTGAATTAAGGAGAAGGAAAACCTCTTCGTTATGGCATGGTTATCACTGTGTGCACAGAGGAACAGTGATAGTTTGTCAGTAGAGAGAAAGAAATAAAGCAAATATACTGAAATAAGTAGAGATGGGGACATGAAATGGTATTCCACATCCTGTTCCAGCTCCTTCATGAGCTGTAGCAGCACTTCTGCCCTCGAAGGCACTGAGATGGTTGTGTCTCCTCAAAATAAATCCCTCCCCAACTTTCTTTTTCAGATTATGTTTGGCCTTAATCAGCATTAGTTGATTCCTGTTGCAGTCAAGCCAAAAGACTAAACTAAGACAAAACTGAGCAATCTGTGACTGCAGTTTGCTTGATTGAATATTTGAATATTTAGACATATCAGTTTAACTGAACTTTCTACTTTCCTCCAGAAAAATTATATAAAAGCACTATGTTAGTCTGGGTTTTTCTGAGAAACAGAACCAATTGTGTGTGGGGGGAGGAGGGGGGGCAGTATTAATTATAGGGAATTGACTCACACAGTTACAGCGGCTAAGTCCCCAAGATCTTCGATTGACAAACTGGAGAGCCAGGAGAGCTGATGGTACATGTCCCCAGTGTGAGTGGAATTCGGAAGGCAGGAGAAGACCGACGTAAGGGAATTTTCACTTACTCTGTCTTTTTTATTCTCATTTCGCCTGCAGTGGATTA